AAAAGTAATTTTGTGTTACCTAATACTAATTATAAGTTTTTTTTATAAGATTTTATATCATTTTATTATTGATATATATGTCTTTTAGCCCTATTTCTACCCCTTCCGGGTTTATCAGACCCCTCAAATTTTTGTTGGTTTTTGGGAATCAAATCAACGACCTTTTGTATTAGATTTTTGTATCACGAAACCATAGTAATTATAAATTATATTGGACTGAAAGTTCAATCCTGCATTTTTTTTTAGAATTAGTGAGAATTTAGATAAATAATCCACATTATTTGCAAAAAATCTCAGAAATATAATATGGTTGTTACGAATATTGAAAAACAACGATAAACAAAACATTTTACTAATAATTTTAAATAGAATTATAACAGTTTTAGGTATATCTCAGGATAATAAACTTCTTGAAAATAATAAGATTGAAGCGAATATTTGAATTAAGTGAATAAAATGGAATAGATTTGGGGAAAGTAAAAATAAATTATGAATAAAAATGACATTTATTACAGCAATTATCAATTAATACTGGTTGACGTTGGTCTCTCCATCCGGATTGATAAAAATATCTCCTTTTGTTTGTATTTAGCAGATTTACTATTAATGTAAATCTATTCTTTAATACGTCTATGCACAATTGGTTGCATACGTTATTTATACAAATTTCCTAAATAATTTAATAATTCCTTAAATTTATCATAAAATTCGATTGGCTGGATTTATTAATATTGTATAATTAAATTTTAAATATATTTACATACAAAGTTAATCATATTAAATGTATTCAAATTTTAAAAGAACCAAGGATAATTATTCGTATTTATATTAATATTCTACTATTGTGTTAAGTAGTTGAATGTTTTTCATGAAAATAAACTGTTAATTGTGACCTTACATGATGTAAAAGGTTTTTTTTAATATTTCAAATCTACTCTTATATTTTAAGGTACTAATATTAATATATACACTTGGTTCTCTTTTTATGCGGTAGATACGTTCCACAGGAAAACGCATAAAAATAAATCGCACAAAAAAAGACTAGACACACCTTCACATTTTTTTCTTTAGAATTATATGAGTTATATGAGAGTATTCGGCATAATTTGCGAACTGGTTCGAAATCACTTTCATCAGATCTATGTCCTGAAGATAATGATTCTTCACAAGTAAAATTAGTGTCAACTTTGCATGTTGTTTTTTTTCCCTTTGACAATATAATCAGTGATTAAACTTTGCGATGGCTTTGCTATTTATTTTGTACAATTCCTTCAAGAAATGCAATTCTGAAGCTCGCGTTGAAACTTGAATGCTCGTTCAGAATTATCATCTTTTTCCATGAAATTGTTTACCAATTTGTGTCAAAATAGCCTAAAATAGTTATTTAAAAAAATGCTTCTTAAAATAAAAACCGCATAAAAAGAGTACGCATAAAAGGAGGACCGAGTGTATATATATATACATTAGAGTTTGCGTAATTTGAAAAATATTTCATAGACGTATTTTAGGATAGGATGTAGACAAGGTGTGTATGTGTGTGTATACACATAACAGTACTTGATCCGTAGCGTTGTTTATCAATCAACTAAATATATTTGTACATTCATTGAGTAGACATTGAAATGTATAGTATTGAATTTGAAAAGTTCAACGGAACCGATGAATTGCTATTCTCGGCCACTTAGTGAAATCGCATTAAATTGTTTGAAGAATAATTGGGTAATCGGCCTGATGGCGGCGCTACACTGTTTACCTACTAATTTTGAGCAGATCTTTTATTATGGTAATTTCATTTTTATGTAATGTATTATACACGAGCGCGAGCGTGAAAATTTTATGAATCGAGGTATTACAAAAAAAAAGGAGAGAAGCAAAAGCAGCAAAATGTAACGATGTGGACGGATTTAAATTGTGAATTTTAATGTTTTATGCTGCGCGGAAGATATGTTGGATGGGATGCAAATACTAACTCATTAATTAATATTGTTATATTCCGTACATTTATCGTAAGATGCTTTTGATATGAGAGAGGAGAGAAGAGAGATCTTTTGCATTATAGATCAGGTTATACAATTGTCAATTAAGTGTCGTATATACTTTTTTGTGATTCTTATTGCTTTTGCAAACCGCAAAAAATCCAGAATTTAATTCATCCATGCGATTTAATGGCCTATAAAATCTTTTATTGCCTCGCCAATTGATTCTTTATCCGCTGTGGAAAAGTGCACTCGTTGATTAAGATAATTCCTCGTGCAATCAAGAGAAACACATTCAATCTGTTAATATTATTCACCGCAATTAAATATATTAATTAGTATACCACGTAGAAATTATATATGTTTCCATTAGAGTTTATTTCGCAGTAAAACAAAACACTTTTAAGCAACGCAACGTTGTGTACTTCTTACGGTTTGTAATTTGTTTGAATACATTACTCATTTTAATATTGTTTTCTTTATATTTGCATCTGCTTATTTCGGAATAAATGTATATGTTCCTTTTTTTTTGCTTGTAGAGGAAACACGTAAATAGAAATATGTTATAAATGGAAATGAAAAATCTGATCTACTATTTAACAATTCTATAATAAATGTATAAAAAAAAAATATGTTGAAACACGTAGCGAGTTACACAAGCTCAGCTTGCGTTCTTCGCTATTGGTGTGGCAATCGGAAATGCAAATGGAAGCCAATAACGTTTAAAGTAAAGTTATAAATTGTCGTCAATTTGCAACAAAAGGCTTATAATACAGAAACAAATAGTAGTTATAAGAAAGTTTTCTTATTTCTTATATGAATTTTCCAAAACTTATTCATTTCATGTATGTGGATTATGTTAAATAAAGATCGACAGAATCACCAGAAAATTATTAATTCGATTTCAGTCGCTTTGACGTCAAAAGTAAGTGAGTCAACCGTAAGAACATTTCCATTCGTGACATCATAAGATTGAAATTAGTTAATCTAACAAACTATCAATGCAGTGACTTATGTACCAATAAATATCAAGTCGACTCGGCTGAACATTGATTTACATTCGTACCCACTGTATGTTTCACAAGTAACATTTGTAGTTTTACTTCAATTGTTTTCTTACCTCGTTAAAGCCTATAGTTTCTCAATTTGCTATGAAGTAAATATTTCAATCTAATAATATGATTAATGATTAATTTAATATTTTCATATAGACAAAAAAAATATATTTAAATAATGAAAGGAGTCGAATGATTTTTTTATCTTTAACACGGTTTAACAAGATTTGCAGTGAAAGGAAAGATCATGAATTCCACTCAAATTTAGGTCCACTTGCATTCAGATCTATCAATTAATTATATTTATTTATTGCTGTCACATCATTACAATTAGATGAATTAAATAAAATGTATGTCAGATTAGTCCGATATGAACGAAAAAAAAACAGACATATCTAAGAAAAACTGCAATAATTAAAATTTAATTCCAATTTTTTTAATAAATATAATTAGATTAATTATTTAATGGTGTCATTAACATACTTATGAACATCATTGATATTGCTAATAAATTTGTCGAAAGAAGTCAAATACTTTCAGTTTGACAATAAGTTTTTTTTGATCAAATGTGTAGTATTTATAATAGATATATGAAGCGGATATGGTTAACAATAATAATTGATCTCTAACAGCACGTGGACCAATAGGAAATTACCAAAACATCGTAGATCTTTTGCTCTGCGTGTTATGCAATAGATAATTGCTGATTACTTTAAAAACGGTAATTAAATAACGTGAGCAGTATTGGAACAATCATATTAATTAATATAATTTTGTTGTTTACAAGGATCCTGACGTAGGAAAAAAAGCACTTATTATATTTTTTTTGTTACAATGGAATTAATATGTACATCGATATTTGGTCGATGTTCGAGGACTTGTGCGACACTTGTCGTACATTTCACTGATAACGAGGAAGTGCGAATTACAATACAATTGGAAGTCCGACAGTGTTCCGATTTTAGCTAAATAATTAGGCAATCGCGACACGCCACATCCTAATACATTCGCGTTCAAAATTTGCATGCGGAAATTAACCCGCAGATGGGGCGTGGCCTTTTGCGAATTGATTTTTTTTTGTATTTGCAGCAATGGATTCGATAAATTTATTTAAAAAATCTTCTGGCAATTGTAAATTTGTCGAGGAAATGATTGTGGAAAGGTCGAATCATTTTTAATTCAAACTGACTGTGTTTTATTCACAAACGGAAATATTGTTAATTACGATACGATACGACCATAATGCAGGACACCGACGCCCGAGGATGTTGTTTCTAAATTCTATGGCAATCGTTTCCATTTAGGTTGATTCCGATTAGAAACGCCACTCGTCGTCGTTGCGCCCAAACATTTATTATGACTATAATTAGGTATCTGAAATTTATGGTTTCGTAATCACGTCCATCGCACATTCTATTTGCCTGTAAATAATTCTCGAATTAATTGCTAATCATGTTCGAGACGGCATTTATACCTGTCGTCCATAAATCTAGGAATCCTCAAAAAGTTGACATTCAATTTTCTTTCAATTAAAACATATTTTATATATATATTCAAATTTTATTTTACAAAATAATATTTCTCTTGTAGGCTTCTGTAGAAATAGTAAAAGTAATTCAAGTGCAAGATGTACATTCCTAACTATAACCGAGACAATGGAGTATTAAGCTGAGCAATGAAATACTATGTCTTATTTTCTTACGAAGAGAAATTATGATACAATGACGCAATTCAACTGAATATTAGCTTCAATCCATTCACTTTGTATATACATTTACTACAGCTTTAACAAATAAGATTTTTGTAAGTTATTACATACAACAGTCGAGTAACAGGTATTATTCATATTATTTTTATATTAATGAATTTAATATGAAAATAAAACAACTTGTGCATTTCTTTAAAAATAAATAAACAAAAAAACATATATTAAACTATAAAAATAATATACAATCAAATTGTAACTTCATTATCTGCAGCGTTTCCTTAATATTGTCTGATCTCTGTATTCGTGGGTGAGCCACATTCGAATTGGAGTGACATCGTTCTCATTCGAATTGAGATAAGCGTAAAAGACATCGCGGAATGCCTTCGTCGGAAATTCGTAGGACACGAACGTTGGGTATAGCTGTCTCGCATAATCGATGCTCCTCCATTTTACATTTCTGTAGAAATTTTCTTTGGTCGACATATTCTGAAAAAGAGGATTTATTCAATATGTCATCTCTTATGCTGGCTCGTTTTCTATGCTCACGAAGTCCTTGATGGTCTTCGCGTATCGCCAGTTCTGCATTTCCGGTTTATCCAGTAGAAAATATTTTTTAGGCAGACGAACGTCTTTCCTATACATATCAACGTGCTTCCAATTGGATTTACTGGTCGGAATAAACTTTGCTAAAATACAAAAACGTACTTAGTTTGATGAACGTCTAAATTATAAATTGAGATCACCTTTGTCTTTTTGCGTCCAAAAGTTTCTACACCGCATTTTCAACCAAAGTTTGAAATGTGGTAACTTGTGTATTTCCGGTAATCTTGCTAACGGATATCCATCTTCGGCCAGTTTACTTAATGCTTTCTGCGCCCATCAAAAACAAAAAAGACTTGAAACAATCGTTAACGCGACTACTGTAATAATAACCTTCAAAAGATGCAATTGTTCCTCTGGATCTTCTGGTAATTTATTTAATATGATATATCTATTGAATCGATCTTCCTCCGCTTCTTCTTCCTCAATTTCTTCGATCGTTTCGAAACTTTCTTCTATTTTGCATGGTCTTTCGGGCGTTACACCGCAGGGTCCTTCTATCGATTCTTTCTCCTCTAGGCAATCGCAGCAGCACTCGTCTGCGGGAAGGTTATACAAACTACATTCTGATTCTTCTTCATTCTCAAATTCTCCTTCGGCATTAATTCCTTCTATGTATTTATTCAAACTGCAAACCTTATCTTTCATATTTTCTTCGCATACGCAAGCACACGGACATTCGTCTAATTCTTCTGCTTCTACGACTGTTTCTTCCGGTTCTGTAATGTTTTCGCTAGCGATGAATTCTGAGTATTCGTTCATTTCTTGCATGTACTCTTCGGTGTCGTGCTTAATTTTCTTCATGTACTCCTCGAACAGTTCCAGACAATCAGAATGGTTTTTCGTAAATTCGTCGTATAGATTCATGCAGGAGCAGCTAGGATTCTTCCTGGCTCCGGATAGTATGTAAATGTTTCCCTCTGGTCTGGCGTGGACCCCCGTTATAATATATTGATTGCATCCTTCTGGTAGGGTGGGCATTAAGGCTATTCGTTTCTTGTCTTCTTCAATTTCCTTCAACTTTCTTATACATTCACATTCTTGTTTAGGCTGCACCGAAGAAAGTATGTATACGGGTTTTCCATCCTTACCCATAGTCGTCCCAGTAATTACGAACTTTTCATTCAAACTCTTTAAAGCTTCTTGTGCCTTTCGTACGTCCCTTATGGCGTCCGCTTTCTCCCACTTGGCTTTGTACTTCTCCATGCAAGTACATATTTTCTCGGACTTGAATCCACTGATAATCTTAACATTATCTCCGTCTTCGTTCTGTTTCGTATCTGCTATTATCATCGTGTTCTTCGCATTCGCAGCTCGTCTGTCAGCTTCGCACTGCTCGCATTGGCAGCAGGAATTTCGGATATCTTGGAGAATTTTATCCTTGCAGAAGCAATAATCCGTATCATTTACATTCACATTAAGCGTGTTACTTGTCTCCCTTTTAATATCTGGGAATTCTTGTTTCAGTGCGCAACATTCTTCGCTATTACTATTTTTCGTGATTATACTTTCTTCGTCGGTTTCGCTTTTGTTTGTTAAACAACAACCACAGCCACAATCTGCAGACGATGATTTCTCTTCTTCTCCTCCTCCTTCTTCGTCTCCATTTTCTTTTATTTCATTCTCCGCATCACAAGTTGCTTTTTCTGGTTCTTGTTCTTCTTTTATACACGGCATTGTAGTATCGACACATTCTATTTTATTTTGTTCGACCACTTCTTCAATTGCGGGTATTTCTTCAACCATCGACACAGAATCATCGGTCTTAGTAGCTTCACTGTCTTTCCTATTCTCAGTTTGGGCCTTTAAGAAGCATGGAATATAAATCGAGGTTTTATGCAACGCTGAAACGCATTTAGTCTGAAACATTTTATTGTAGTAGCGCTGAGCTGCAATCCATTCCTTGACTAATTCTTTTTCCATTTCAGCATAACCTGAATGGACATAATAAAAGAAAAACAAACAAAATGAAGAATATAACTGGAATAAAAATAGAATGCTGCAAGGTATTACAGTCGGTGTCTGTGGTCGATGAAATACTGAGGGTGCTGCTGCTTGTTGGATAATCTATTTCCAATTTGCATTCAATCGGGTCTGCGTTTGTTACTAAGCAGTCCTTTCCTTTAATCCTTAATTTACATTCTGTTTTTGCTGTGAGATTGCACGTATTTGAGCCGTCTTTTGTGCTGCTGATATTTGAGGTGCTGCTTTCGCTACTTTCCACCACATCTTCTTCTTTGGTTACAGCTGCAATTATATTATTTTCCGAACATAATTTAATTAGATTCTCAATCTGCAATATAACGTACATTATTTTTACAAATCTGTAATTTAATATATGCATCGTACCAGCTCCTCTTTGTAAGAAAAGAAAAAACTTTGAGGATATTCCTTGTCCGCTTTTTGGTATTTATTGAATATCCAGGGTTTGGGAACGAACGTGTAGGGAACCAAGTATGGAGATTCGTAATGCACAGGCTTAACCTTTGCATGCTTCTTTTTGACCTTTCTCGGTGAACCGGGTGGTGATGGAATACGTATATGAAGTTCCTTTAAAGTCGATCTCAGGGTAAGCCTAACGACTGCCGATAACAATAACCTCTCATTTATCGAATACACATTACCTACACGAGTATGGATATTTCAATAATGCTACTAAAAATAGTTTACTTACGTTTGCTTACGTTTTGGGTGCCTTAAATCGTATAAAATTAATAAAAATTCTACCGGACAACCACAAGACGTGCTCAACGCCAATTCAACGTGTTTATGATATGGGAGTTTCACGAGTCCCAACGAAGCCAAACTTTCGATAGTGCAGCTAACGCTTTTATGTTTCATATCTCTCTTCATAGATTGATCCAGATTATCCACGACTTTACACTGTTTTGGTGACAGCTCTTGGTACCATGCGGGTCCGAGTATTCTCAGCATCAACTTTTCGGTGGCTTTCTTTTCTACAGTTTTTAAGCATTAAGCAATGCAACGAAACATAATCTGATATGGACACACCCACCTTTAATTGATTTTAGGCGAACTTCCTCGTGATTCTTCATATTGTATTCCTTTATTTTCTTTTGGTGTTTCTCAACGACGGCTGCCCACGCGTCCTGCAGCAACTCTTCCAATGGACCACGGCCATGTTGTTTTCGCGAACGAATTTTATCAGATACTTTCGAGAACTCGTGATCAGGTGGATAAAATTCGTATTCTGCTTCAGTATATCTGTATTTCAATTTCACGGGTCCTTTGTCCATAACGGCATACGTCTGGTCTATGTTGTAATCCTTGATCATTTTCGACTTGGGTCGAAATTCCACCATCGGATCTGGTTTTGGTGGTCCGGTCTTCGGAATATCGCACACTTTGAAATCGCCATGGTAGATATCAAATACGTTCTCTGGTAACGCTTCTTTGGAGCCGGATTTGATTGATGATGATTTTTTAGTATTTCTTGTAGTCTTTGACATTTTACAACGGTAATTTAGAATTTGACATTGTATTTCAATTTTGTACGCCTACCTATTTTTTATATAAACCTTAATTAAGCAAGTTTTAGCAAACAGTATGCAAATCTTATCATTGAATTTGAGTTTTCTACCTGAGATACTTGAAATTTTATACTTTGATTTTATAGTAAATTTTGCTTGTATTATACAATAAAAAAGTGACTTTAATGCATATTATTAATATAAGATCATGTGGGCAGTAATTTATAATTTAACATTGTATTATAAGTTTGGACGCCTACTTGCCTTAACTACATTCATATACCAAAAGTCTAAAGCAAGATACAACAAGAGTCTCTAGTAAAATAATTAATATTTCAAATAATGACATAATCAAGTTTCTTAAAAATCAATATCAAGTAACAAAACTGATATAACTTTATGAATTTGATGAAATTAATATTTTTATAAATGTATTTAAGTACTTTGTGTGAAAATGTTTAGTTGCGCAACATGTGATTGTGGGATGTCAATGTTGCAATAATGTGAAAACAATTGAGTTAAATTTCAAGAAACGTATTCGAATGAGAAGAGAAAAAATACAGGAAATGCAAAAGAGGACGAGATGTGGGTCGGTCGGTTGGTTGGTTGGTTTGCATATGCAATAATTCATAGGGGGGTTACATTGAAGTCATGAGGAACGAATGCAACCAGTTTGGAGATCGAGTAATGTAATATTTAAAGCCGAGCGAGAGGTTTCTTATTTTTAGAATCGTCGGCCGTGGGAGAGTCGCGGGACAATTTAATGATTAATTTGTGTAAGCTAAAAGGTACCATTGTATGTTAAGCAATATTTTGGGTTGCAGGAGAAAAACATCCTGCCGGTATTACAGAAATAAAAAGGAAGGAAACCATGAGCCATGAGAGGTAATCACGAAATAAATGATTTTCTTGACTCGGCAGCGTCTGAATATATAGTCCCTTGTTAGCATTTTAAGCGAGGGCGCATTATATCTTAAAAATGTAGTATACACAATGGCCGGGCCACGATGTGGGCGTTTTTTTTTTCCTCTTCTTTCCACTTGGTCTCTCTCTCTCTCTCTTTCTGCGTCTCCTTTTTCGTCGTGTTGCTGGCTGGACGCTGTGCTCTTTTTTGCATTCCAGTGGGTGCATCTCTCGATGAGAGATTTCGCGAGTTTGTTCACCCACTAGGGAGGCAAAAGTTGTTCAGCTTTCAGCCAGCTGTATTTATATACACATACAGACACACACACACATACACTCTGTGTGGACGTCTCTGCCGGTGTCTACTATTATGGTATAGTGTACGGATGTCCAAGGACGTGGGTCGTTCACTCGGCGACCTTTCAAGTACGGCCCCTGCCTTGGCCGACCGTCCCGATAATTCAAACGGCGTAACACGCACGAACAAAATAAAACCACAATTTCCACAAGAAGAAGAAGACCAAGCCACCACAGCTCGTCGCCTCTTATCACATTACAGATGCCCATCAATACCATTTCACTTTTCCACCATTGCCGATTATATATTGTCTCAATACATACATAGTATGATGCATTTGCATCAGACAGTCCTACTTTCTTGCTAGAACCATCTATCTACGATTCCTCCCAGCACCGCTGAAACTTTATACAAACGACACCCCGATGTCACATTAACGGCTCTTAATAGATCTTAATCATACACCTCTGGTGGTGGAAAACGAGCGAGTCGCAACTTTGTGATCTCTTAATTTGCAAAGCAATGAATTAAAAACCAGTATTAGTAAAACCATTAAAACCGTCTGGGGCTAAAGAACTGGTGACTCAGAGCCAGTGCGATCTTCACATATGGAACGTTGTATTTCTCAAAATAAATTTTATGGAAAAAAAAGTAACAGGCAAGCAAACTGACGACATTTTTGCCTTTCTAACAAAGATAAACGGTTGTGTTGTCTAAATTCATGAGAATCCGTACGAACTTTTCTTGGAATCATTTATTACTGCTGATATAGTACACCAAAATTGTGAAGACTCACGTAAATAATAAAAAATCGACGTTTCCGTTAAAGCGTTAACAAAATACTGTTAACCATAAACTTAATGGTTATTTAATTGGTTCAGCGCGGAAGTATTTTTCTTCTTCTTCTCTTTAAATCGTTTCCAACGTCCTCTTTCTGCTCATTCTATTTTACTCTCTCTTTTTCTCCATTATTATTATTATTGTTATTAATTTTTGCTTGACGTATTCGAAGATAAATAAATAACATGAGCTCGTGTCTAAAATTGGGATAATCGTAATTAACCAGAGGAGAGCATAATAATAATAAAGTTTCGAGATTCCGGGTTATGTTATTGAATTCCAGTCTGGAGCCAGCTTGCTGCCCACTTTCTCTACATGTACACACATGTGTATAATGAAACCGATCAATTACTCCCAGCATTTTTCACAATCAACATTCACCATTTAAAATTGTTTATCCGTATGTGATAAAAGGTAGAGGAGGTAGAGGAAGGAAGCCAACAATGGCCGTTGGCGAAGCGCCGAACGTCGTCTCCCAATTATTAAAGAAATGAAAGAAATTGAATTCATCTCGATTTTGATGCAGGAGGAGGTCTGATGCTACTAAATCCGTTGCAAATTCAATTCTGCTTTCTATAATTACATATTTTGTATATTAGCTGATGTGGAATTGGAAGGATGGAGATTATATTGAGAGTAGACAGTAGTCGGGCGCCATGGCAACAAAGAGAGCGAGATAAGTGCAGATGGGAGTTTCTCAAATGAAATAAAGAAGAGTGGAGAGTCTCAGGATAGGAAGGCAGAGTGAAAAAAACTATCGGATCTCGCGGATTCCGATGGATAATTGCGGCCTCTATACGCAGGCTCGCTAATACTTGGTTACGTCCATTTTTCCACTCGTAAAATTACACGGTAGGTTTCCTCTTGGCCACATACTGCCGACGCCATCCGTGTTATCTGTAACGCGAGATCTATTTATAGGAAAATGCAAAGACAGATAGATATATATACACACTAACACCAACCAACCAACCAACTAGACAACCTCATGAGACCACTTTTTCACCATAATACAATTACTTAATGTAACTGTTCTCACTGCAGCTAACACGCAAAACTTTCAAATCCATCATGCCAGAAACAAAATAACCAAGTTTTCTTAATTATATACTCCAGTATTTACTTCAACATCAACCATGCAATATGACACTAAGGCAACTTAATCTTTAGATGTAGGTTATTCATTTAAATTCAACTACTGTAGTTGATTGGCTACTAGTCAGAATATTAAAGTTTCCTTTTTATGGAATTCTATTGGATTTTCTCAACCTAAATTATTCTATAGGAAAATATGGAATTGTAAAACAAATTTTTAAGTTTTTGTTATTGCATTTTTCATATCGAATAATTTTGGATTAATAATCCAATGTTTCTTAATTTCATTAGAAATACAATACTTTTTGTTTAGGAAAATTATATATTCCAAGTACTTACTCTATGAATGTATTTAAGCCAAGTAGGCGTTGAATGTAAATGATTACTCATCTCATTGTTCTTTTCGCCCTCACAATTAAAACTTTTCTTGACTCATACTAAGTCTAATATTTTGATTACAGTACTTGAATATTATGTTGGTTGTTTGTTTAATGCGAAATCTGTCATTATGTTTCTTTTAATTTTCAAAATGTTACGTTGGACAAAACATAGGAATGAATTGATATTTGCTTCTAAACTGCAAGACGTTTAAATACAAATTTCTCAGAATTTGACGACTGAACGGTAAAACTTGTTTGACTCTTTTCAAAGAATAGCGCGTTTCTTTGTTGCATTCATTTTGCTTGCACTGTCTATAGAGCAGTAACAATTTAATTCTTGTTCTTCAAGAAATGTATTAAAATTATGGATAAATATGGAATACAATTCTAATTTATTTATAATAGTGTTATACCATTTTGCTACTGAAATACTGATTCATTGGTAGTAAATAGAAGAAAGTTTTGAAATAATGGTTTGTGTTTTGAGGGATGTATCTCGGTTTGTTATTATAGACGGGTGTATTGCCCTTTTGGCAATCGCAAGGTTGTTCGAAACTGGCTGGTTTCCAGCACTGGAAATATAGACAGGCGGTTGCTTGCGGTGGTTCCCTTTTTTTTTGCTGTGCCGAAAACCCGCTCCGAGTAACCTTGCCCGTGTCTACAAAGTACTATAGTGAACCCAGAGAAAATTTTAAACTTTGTTAACATAATCAAATGCTGAAACTGAAACGTGTTTGCTGCTTTGCTTTGTTTATAACAATATTGAATAGCAATATGTTAATGGTCTAAGAAGATGCTAAGAAGAATGGTAGCGAGACACAATAACTGTGCTACGTGATATTTAAAGAGTTATAAACGCGGAGATAAATTTTGAGAGATGCTGGATGAAGTGAAGTACTTTGGAAGCGCGTACGTTAGTCACGGGTTTTGCTATTTGAAACCGGATCCCGTGATGGTTAGCGTTTTCTTCTTCAGATACTCGCGAAGAAAGAAGTGTTTGTGTGCATAAAAGAGAGACAGGAACGGTACATATTTATGACAGCATTTTGTGCGCTCATACTTACTCTGCGCATTTTATTTATTGGCCATGTGTCTTCCTTTTATTATTATTTTTGTTGTTGTTGTTTTCTTCTTCTGCTGTTCTCTTCGTTTTCGGTCATTTTTCTTCTCAGCTCACTGAGCTGTGCCCGGCGCCGTGGTTTCAATTAACATAAATAATGAAAACGAATAAAAAGGATGGAACGAGAGTCATGACTCTCCTACCGATTTCACATCTCTCCCAAAATTTAATTGCATGAGAGTCAATACAACAGACTTTTTGTTACTATCCAATAACAAATTCAACTCTACAATAATAACTACCTAAAACCTTTGATAAAAATAGATTTTCGTTTATTTTATAAAAAAATTACACTGTTCTTGTCAAGTTTACATTTTAAGCCATTTAACATATATTTCCATTT